ATTTCCATGCTTTATTTCATGAAACGTGAATTAATCTTACCACTTCAGAATGAATGAAGGTCAGCTTATAAGGAGGTTCTCTTTTTCTCCCTGAGTTTTTGGGAAATCTGTTTGAAACTAGATGTTTGAACTATCAGAATAACATAGGGATGCCAAATTAAGCTCCTCCTGCAGGCAAGTAAACTTTTCAGGCCTGATGCTAATGCCAGATCCTATTTTTCAACGGATTTCGTTAAAATTCCCTAATGATTTCAAAACTGTAAAGTTTTTCCACTTGGAGATGTAAACATTTTCTACTCTAATCCAAGCAGGAATCAGCACCATTGTATGAATTTGAAATGCATCACTCTGGTCCAAAAAAAAAATGCAGAGAGGTAAAAGTAATTTTCAATTTTTAATTCTACACATTGCACAGGCTGAGATTTGGCATACAAGATGAGATAAAATATAGAACAAATTTACTCCCTGTCAACATATTATCATAGAAACTTGATACCATGAAAATATGTCACTTTTCACATGTGCTTTTTGAATCTGCAGATGAAGGAGGAGTGCATATAAATGTATTTCAGATGAAAAGAAATATAAAGCAAAAATAAGAGAAGGCCATTAAATCAGTACATCTTAATCAGTCAGGGCTGGGGGGGGGAGGGAGAAAATTAGATGTGCAAATGAAGAGTTAGCTGATGCTGAATTGCTGTATTTGTATTGCCCTCCAAGGACTGTTTGTTATATTGCTATTCATCATATATTGATATATATACAATTAAGAAGAAAATTCTGCCGTTTTACTTTGAATTGTATTTTCGGGCAAACACAATTGTCTTTTCCTTAATACTAAATAACACCCCCAAAATGCCGTTTACAGGCAGACTATTCATAAAGATAGTAAGTTTCAGTTACAGGGACACAATGATGTATCTGATTTTATATGCTGTTTTGCTACCATGATTTTGAGAAATAACCAGAGATTATTATTTTTAGAGTGTTCTTATTTGATAGCTTTTCTACAGGTGTGGTTGAATGCCTATGAACATTTTACTCTTGGATTTACCATTCAATTCAGCATTACATTATATAACTGGAATCCTTTAAGGCATATCCAAAACCAAATACTACAGAAAATGACAGCTTCAGTTACTAAAATTGGCTTTGAATTGGTACAATTAAAAGTACAGAATGATCATACCAGAGTGACTTATAACATGTTCTGTCAGTATCTAGAAATATGTGAAAAGATTCATAAAACTTACTTCAGTGAGGTCAAAATTACATCAGAAACCAGACAGAACAGATGTGAATCCACCCTGTGTTCACCAAGTTGCCTACCAGTCTTTGGCATCTTTTGGTGTGATGACAAGAGCAGATCTCAAAAGCCCTAGCAGCTCCCTGTTAAGAGATGTGGGTGGAGAAGTACTTTGCCTGAGCAACTTTTGCATTTTAGATTTTTGTTCTGACTTATAACAAAGCTGGGTCCAAGAAAGGTTTTTAAGAAAGGTAAAGGGAATCACCAGTCTCCACGAGGCTTCTGCCAACAGCCTGGAGAAGGCTGCATTTTCTGCAGCAGCTGGTAAAGTCAAAAGCTCAGCCTCAACCATTTACAGATAACAACTTCCATTGGTGAAATAAAAGCTACATAAACACAAAATGCTTGTCAGTGGCTTAAAATACCAGACCAATGTGTGAACATTAGCATAAGCCGTTTAGAACGTAATCAGGCTATAGCTAACCAAGCAAAATAAAAGCATTTAGAATTGTTTAGGCTTAGTTATATGATGAGGGCTAAAGTGATAAATCTTGGGATTATGGAAAGGAAGAAGACCTCACCACAATATCCATAATGTACAACTAACCGTGGAAATTCTAAGACATGGATAACTGATATCAAGCACTTATCCTTAGCATTTAAGGCATTTATCCTCAGAGATTTAAATTTTGACCCCAAAAATATTTAAGGCAGAAAAAGTACAAAAAAAAAAAAAAAAAAGAAAAAAGGACAAGATGAGCTCTGCAAAAACAGAATCCAGATAAAGCTACTAAAATAACAGGTCAAAACATATGGGCTACATGTCAGAGTCAATCTAAACAGAAGCCCTGTATGAGTAATTTGCCACATTTGTTTCAAAGCCCTCAGAAATAGGCTGCAAAGGACTAAGACTTTTCTGAGCATAGATGCAATTACTCAGGTAACTGCCTTGTGTAAGACTTGCTTCCTTTCCCATAGCTTAATAGATACAACATCATGAACAAAACAGTATCTGCTTTGGATGGGAAAAGTCAATAGCACCCGAGCGTGGGATTTTAGCAGGTAAGCCAGTGAGGTCCTACAACATTTTAAAACAAGTTTAACTCAAGCACCAGTACTACTCAAGTCTTACCTGCTCTACTGAAATGTTCTGGCCCCTGCCAAGAGGCTACTGCTGGCCCTCATTCAATCCAGAAAGCTGGTTTGGGGAACTCAAAAATCAATTTATTTTAAAAAATTAAATCCTTTTACCCTCATTCCATATTTGAAATGTTCTGCTTTATCAGTATATGATAACTTATGTAAGAGTTAGCCGGCACATTAATGAGCTGCACCTTGCCACAATTTCCCCGTGAAACCACCTATTTTCTTAACTGCTTCATGCTCTTTTATATTTCCACTTCCTTTTAGCCTCCTTTAATTGTATATGAATAAATTAATCAAGAATATTCAGTTAATTTCCTTTGATGCATTTGCTCGCTTGGTTACCATGGAAAATATTCTATAACAAAATGCTATTGGATATAGAAGTAAGATTTCTTAATGCAAGCTGCGAATATAACTAAAGTACATTGAAGGTAATAAGATGGAGATCTGTCAAAGCTTAAGTAAAGGGAGAAAGTAAATTTGAACTCAAGAACTGAACAAGGGAGAATATGAAGACTACTGTCACAAGAAACACAAACTCAATTAAGCAAGTTGTTAAGATGTCACATATGCCGACCTAAAGAATAAATATGTTTTTGCTGAAGGATTATCATCTCTCTGAGAGGCAGGACAAAAAGCAAGTAATAGCACCACTCTTCAAAGTTCATACAGGGTTCTCAGGTCTAGTACATCTTTTTCAGCTATATTACATTAATTGATCTAAATTAAGCTTTATTTTTAATATATTTTGCATATATTGCAATATTTGCATATAAATATCAATTTGTTAAGTTCAAAAATGAGTAAATAATTGTATAAAAATGCAAATACAGAAATACTAAGTCTACAGAAAAGCAGCAAAACACACCAGCAAGACCATGAAAAAGATGATTACCTGACATATAGGGATCTCTTCTGGCTGGTTCGCAAAGATCCTGATCCTGAACTAATGCTACTGTTCATCATCTGTTCCCGTAAATCATGTATTTTAGCTTCAAAACGACTGTACTCTGTAAGAAAGGGAAGCACTGCAATTAATTTCCTCTGAACTTCAGCATTTAAATTACAAAAATGCTGCAAATGTCAGAGAATAAGCATTTGTTTCAGCTTTTTAATACAAGAAAAAAAAACTGTCAAAACCCAACATTTTTATTAAGCACTGTTTTGTAATTAAAAGCTATGTGAAGTTTTACATTTATGAATATTAACTGAAATAAAATTTGAAATAATTGTGATTAGGCAAAGCAAATACACAGAAGCAAATATCTATTATACTTTAAAATTTCATGTTTTTAATATGTAGTTCACAGTAACTATTTTTTCCCTAATTAAAACAAGCATTTCTACTAACAATTATCATTTTTATAGTAATAAAGAAACTGATACAGCTAAGTTTTAACCCATGACAAAAAGAAAATTTTAGAACATACATCTGAAATACATGTTTATAATCAAGAACTATATATTCTAAATTTTAAATGTTAAGAAATAGGAAAGAAAAGTGTCTGAAAAAACAATATCAAACAGATACCTCAAAATTACTGGACTTGAATTAGATAAAGAATTTAGGACTACAAGGTGAGAAATATGCCAAATATTTTCTCAATAAGACAATGTTCCCATGGGAAGTCAGGAAAGAAAAAAAAAAAATCCAGAATTCTGGCATGAATCTTGATCCACTTGTAAATGGCATTAGAGATTCAAACTCTCTCTATAGATCTATGTACAATGTTAATCCTGGAAAAACAGATTGTGTTTTTAAGCAGCACCATGTACTAATAAAACTAAGCTAAATGCATTTGATTTTAGATATAAAGGCAGGCAGTAAAATAGTAATAGCTTCTTCAGGACAAACATTTCCTGAAGCGAGGTACTTACATGCTGTCAGCATAAAATATGAACTCAAAACAAGTAAGTTTTTCCTTCAGTTGAATACTTTGGACTTCAGGATAAACAGACCCACTTGTAAAACCTTTCTAGTTAAAGGAAACGTTCTGCAGCCACCACCTTCACCAGGAGACCACGTGATGCCAGATTATAACAAGTCAACACTGGGAGAGCCAGGGTGCTTGCAGCAAGCAGCTGCTGAACTGGGTAATGTGTTGCTCTTCCTAGCTGCACCCTCATTCCCTGCAGGCATCACATTTACTCAGGAAATGCAAGATTGACAAAGAGGCCTCTAAAATGAAAAATCTTGAAGAAATCTCTAAACTAAGGTCATTCAACAGTCATTTAAATACCATGAATGATTTATCATACTACATTCCATAGCACTTTCTCCCCGCATACTCATCAGACAGTGAGCACCAAGGCTTACAGGCTAACCAGAGAAGAAGAAAAAATATTAAGTTACAGAAGAATATTCTGTGAACCAGTTTCTGGTAATCACTTCGTTCATCAAGGTAACTATAAATCTGATGTTCTAGCAATAGCAACTATAATTAACCCTATCGAGATTATGACAATATGAACAGTCTCTTAAACAACCCTGACTTTTGTCCTTTAAAACTAAAAGCTAGTAGTTTTTAAGATAGTATCTTATTTTTTAAAACAGCGTCAAGTGCCTTTTTACAAATAAAGTCCAGATCAAATAATTTACCAGCACTAAATCAGACTGATGAGGTTGTTTGACAAGAGAAACGAAAATATTCCCACCACTACCAATTGTATCACTCATAGCAAAAGAATTTAAGATGACAGGATGGTAACCTAAGAGGAATGTGAGAAAATGACATTTTTTAGAAAGCAATATCCCTTTAGGGGAAGGACCCAGATGCAGAGAGAGAATAGTCTACTCCTGCCGTGCTACTGCTGCACTGCATGGCCTTGGGTAAGTCACCTCATTTTACTCATTTATACCTGAGAAATGATCTTTTAAGCCTCTCGCCTGTTTCTTGGGTGTTTTGGAAGACTAAAGCTCTAAACTTCAAATAAGCTACAAGAATGGTAGCTGAGATTTCTGACATAAGAGATTTTTTTTTTTATGCCCCCTCTGTGAGAGGAAAGCAAGCACAGAAAAAAACAGATAATCCAAGCATTTTCTTGTGCTACAGCCTGTTCAGTACTGAAAATATCTGCAGTTCTTTGTGACAGCTACTGGACAAGACTACAAACTTCTGTTAACAAAGTATGATGTGTCATCTGTTGGAAGAATCAGATTCCTCCTACATAGCATGTAGTATGTAAGAGAGTTAACAGGGAAGGCTATTCCTTACTATTGCCTAACTCTACTTTATTCTATATATCATCTTCAGGTTGCTGGTCTTGCAGTTTTCTGCAAGTAATTTAATTTTTCTCATCAGGACTCCTGGAAAGTAAGTGCCGAATGAGTGACAGGGACATCTGTAGGAGTAAGAAGAATAATAATTTCTACATAGATGCTCCTGCCATACAAGTAAAGAAAAAAAGGAAACTAATGGCTGGGACTGAGAAGGCTCTACGTTCAAAAAGAAGGGATGCCAAGAGAAGTCATATTTAGGAAAAGCTTAAACACTCCATACAGATGGAATCTGGTGAGCTCCTTTGATGTAGAGCAAGCTAAAAATTTGAGTTACATTCCTCTTACGGAAGGTTTTGGGAGGAACAGGATGGGTAGAAATCTCAAAATCATTGGGTTTGGAGCTGAAAAGTAGACAGGATTTTTTTTTAAAAAGAAAGCTTGGTATTAGATACAGTGGTACTGAAACTGAAGCTGGAGACAGAAATTAAGACAACAGCAGGACTCTTGATGGCATCAGAAAAGCAGTATCAGTGTGGTACCCAAAGGATCGGCACCCATCTCCTGTTGACTGATTAGGCTTGGTTCAACTTCGGCATTATAAAGCAAAGTGTGAGCTCTGCTAATCTGTCTAGGAGTGGTTATATTTCTACCTCTGTGATTAAGAAGAGTTGGATATCAAATGTCTTTAGCACCTTCAATCTCTTATTAAACTGAAGAACACTGATGCCATCTGGTAGTTTATGAAATGTAGAAAAGTAGTTGCAGGATAGCAGTCAGAATACTGGCCACCGCTGCTGCTCCATCTTATATGTTCTACAAGACGGGAACATCAACAGCCAACAGCTGGTAGCAAGACTGGAGACTTGTATCCAAGATGCGTGTGTATCAAATGCGATCCATACAAAATGCAATTTTATTTGATTACAGAAGCACCAGAAAACTACCTACACACCTCTATGTTTTTAATCAATCCCTGCAGTAATACCTTACTACTAATTAAATTAAAAGAAATAAAAAAAAAAAAAAGGCAAACAAATTACAGAGGAGTATCATCAAATTTACACTAATGAAAGACTTCATATAATGGGTATACCAGACACATGACTTTGTAAGAAACCCCTTAGCTAAAATAACATAAAAGCAGAAGTACTGGATAAAAACAAAAGCACAATCTTAGCTTAACACTTGTGTCTTGCACTGACAAGCAAGCAAGGATTTAGGGATGAGAACTAGGCGAGCACAGAGTGATACCTTGCCTTCAAGTACTCTCCCATCCTCCAGTATTTTCAATGTTTACAGAATTTCACTGTATATTTAAATTACCGATTTCATTCAGCTTACCGTCACTAAATTCTCCTAAATGCTTGAGAACCGTTTTCTTTACAATTCCATTCTTTCTTATGGGATATGCATAATATTACATATATAATGTATGACAAAATTGATCATATCTTTTTCCCTAAATCACAGTGAACAGCACAATAAACTTCCATATGGCTAAGTGTGACAAAGCCATACAATGCACATATAAATATAAAACTTTTTTTAAAAGTTTTGTTTTGCCACTTCAATGTTCCAGAAATTTGGAGCTGGAACAGGCACAGTGAACAAGATAAAAAGGACACTCGCTTTCTTGGTTAAGAGGAAACAAAGAGCTTGTCTGAGAAGGAATATGATTGATCTCTAGTCAGGGTAACCAAACAGAAAGGACATAAGCTATTTAAATGAAAAAACAAAACTGACTTTAACCCAAATGGAGTAGGATGGTCATGGGAACTCCATCTACAAATATGCTTCCAACTTCCACAGCCATCAAAACACTGAGATTCTAAAATAGTATTTTAATAAGAACTATGGTGGCACAAGAAACACCACCCCCCCCAAAGAAACTAAAAAACAAAACCAAACCACACAATCCAAACCCTCAGTCCTTTCAGGTAAGCATTTGACCAGGATCTGAAACCTGATGTGTATGCAACAGCAATGAATGGAACTTAAGAAGTCAGGATCTGTTCTAATGTTCTGAAGGAAAGCTGCTGATGCTACATAGCAAATAAAGGGCAGCAGGCAGCAAGACTAAAATGAAATGCAATAAAATAAGAACAAAAGAATAACAGTATCTCTTCTTAGCTAGAATTTTCTCAAAGTTTCCAGTAAGTTTGGGGGGAGGGAAGGAGTAGTACCTGCTTATCATGACACAGAGCCTGAGGAAGCACAAGCATCTGCTGCTTCAGTTCATGGCATTTATCCAACAGTACCCCACCAGCACCAAAGAAAAAAACCCAAAGCCTACTCTGGCTTACACATAATCAGTTGTTAAGAACATTGGATGGATACATCTGGGCTCAAGTTTAAACTTCAAAATTATACTGGATAAGCAGATGGTGCAAAACTAGAATAAATCTGCTCTATTTCATGCCTGCACATATTGCACAGCAGTGAATAAAAGCGGGGCAGGGGGAGATTAGGAAATCCTGGAAGAGTCCTCTGCTCCTGAATGCCTGAACTGATTTTACCTAGAAAACTGTAATGTTTTCAATGTCAATGTTTATTTTAACAGAAACCAAAACTTCAGAGAAAGGGTCTGAGCAGTGAAACTCTCCTGGACTACCTGGTGAGCAACAAGAGGACAGTGATAAACAGAGATACATGGCAAGTAGTCTATACAGGCAGGGGAAGAGGGAAAAAAAGAGACTACAATGAACATTAATTTGGTCTGGAACGCACGTTCTAGCAAATGGAGCGAAAGAACAGAAGACTATGACAAGGGATGGAAAATTCA